GCAGAGGAAGTGCCTTGAGCAGCCGGGGTTTGCAGAGCAGTGCTCAGAGTCCTGCCTCTGCCCGGTTTGTGTTGAGAGTCACTGGATCTTGGCTCTGAGATTTAGAACATAAAACTATTACTTAGTGAGAGCAATACTTCCTTTCCTTTTAAGGACAGGAAAGAGGAATTGAGTTTCCTCCACCTCGGTCCTGTGTCAGCACTGGGAAGTTGCTGCCCCACTCGCCACTGTGGTCGTCCCCGTTGATTTCCTAAAAAAAAAAATCTCACTTTCATATCTGTCGTGATTTCCTTTGTGTGGAGAGGGGTCCTGTTGTGGCTCCAGTGTCTGTGGAGCGTTCATTCCCACTGTAGATGGAAGACGCTGGGAAGGCAGAGACACTGGCCCGGGCTCTGCTCCCTGGAGCTGCTGTGAGCCTGGTGGGATTTGTCAGTCCGCAGGCAGTGGTTCCAGTGTCCCAGCCCTGTGAAAGACACCTGTTGGCAAAACCGCCTGGGGAAGCAATTTTGGATGGGAAAAGTTCAGGGAGGGTCCTGTGGCACAAACTGGGTTGTCGCTGGGTGGGGTGTGGGGAGAGCAAAGGGGCTTTTCTTGGTGAACTGTGGGCAGATGCCTGGTTTGGCAATCCCTGCCTGCGCTTACACCGTGAGAGGGTGTTCTGGGACAACCGCCGTGCTTGAACACCCAGTTCAGTTTTAGGTGTTGCGTGGAGCACAGCGATAGCATGCTCTGCTTTGGGCCCTGTGCTCTGCCATCTGCAGAGCCTCCCTCCGCCCCTAATGAGATTACAGCTTAAGTACCGCACCCGATAAGCCCCAGGTTTGGCAGAAGGATTTTCCAGCACCTAAATACGGAGCAGGGATCTACTATTTCTCATCTGACACCTTTCAGGCTTGGCAGCCAGGCTGTGCAGTGGAGGAGTTTTAAACCACACGAGCCTTTGCCCAAATCTGCATTTCCAGTTTGGTTTTTGAGGAAGAACCAGCAGCGTTTGGTACTGTTTGCTGTCTCGGGTGTGAGACAGTCTGTGAGCCCATGCGTGGCATTTCGATTTGTGTAACAAAAGATGCTTTTTGATCACTGTAGTATGTGTGCTACGGGAAATAACACCCTACTCCTGCCTCCTAAATCCCCCCATTGCAACCCAGAGCTTCCCACCGGGCTTCTTCAACCAACGGTGCTGCAGGGAGACAGCTGCAGCCGGAGTTTTCCTCCCTTGTGCTTCCCGCCCTCACCTTGCAAAAATAAAGCTCTTGGACCTGGGAATACAGCAGGAGCACACATGGACGCAGGTGATAGATAAGTGGGTGTCAAGCACCAGCTTGTTGCTGGATGTGTCTGGTGTTTGCCAGCCTCCAGCTGAGCTGCTGGAGGACAGGCAGTCTGAGCGGGTCTCGCCTTGAACAAGCCCGTCTGCTCTATGTAGGTACTTCCTAAAGTCTGGTTTTGAGGTCGCTCAGGTTATGGGTGTTAATTTCTGTGTAGTGGTTACTGCCAGCTCCTTTCCCTCCAACCGGAAGACCTGTCCGGTAGCGGGAATGGCGGTTGCAGCAGTAGGTAATGGTCACGACGG